CAGCATCCCCAGGGACAACTTTCAGTGCCCTTTGGCATTTAACATTCACTTCTGTAACTTCCTACATAAACAAAAATCCATTGCTAAAGTGTGTCGCTCTGTTTTTTTTTTTTTTTTTCATGTACACTCCTGAACAAGTTGTAAAAAAGAGAAGCCAGAGAGGCACAATGACATCTTGAAGATCTGTGTTGACCTGGTGCTTTCAGTTCTTAGGTATTGAAAGTTCCACATTCACAAATTATAAGATCATTCTGCTAATTTCTCACATTAGAAATAAAATTAGAATTGCACAGCAAGCCTATGGACAATCTGAAGTTACAGTAGCCCAGTTATGAGTAAATAAGATGTGCCAAGGAGCTTTTTGATTTTGTCATGTGAAGTCCTCACATTTATGATATGTTGTTCAGAGATCTGATCACCCTTAATGAAAGCATCATTGTGCATCTTCCAGAGTTCCCCTGAGTTACTTCAATAGATAAGGTTTCAGGTTGCTACCCAGGAGTTCACAACAGCATAGTGATATGTATCTCCATGGCAATTAGGAGTCTGTCCAGAAAGGCAGGAGGTACCTGATACCCACTTCTGAGAGATTTCTGTCACTGTTCCTAAGGAAGTTAGTAAATCACTATTTTTTTCCAGAAATTAAATGTAGTGTAGGATGATGGCAGGAAATTCAAGGGTGAGACCCTCGGAAATAATGCCAATAGAAATGAATTATCCAACAATTGGCTCAGTCAGCCAGTGATTCTGGGGAAGAAATTCCATTGATGAAAAAACATTTTCCTTACAGATACTATGACAGGTTACTTCACTGCAATTTTTAAGTGTGCTGTAAGAGCCTTGGGAGAGAAGAGACACATGTGGATTCCCTGCCTTTAGGTTAAGTCCAGACAAACTCCCTCAGCACACAGCCAAGAGCCAAGGACCAACATGAGGAGCTGACACACCAGGACGTCTCCTCTTATCATACAGTTCCACCAAGGCAGGAGACTGTCCTGTGCATCCAAATACCATCTTGCAATGAAGAAGGAATAGCACTAAGAATTCTGAGCATTCCTAGAAAGTACAGCCATCTGAAAGAGGCAGCTGAGTCCAGCAGAGCCCAGATTCTGAGGGTAATTCTATAATTTGGCATAATTGGCGGGCAAAAATCACACCTAGGACTGCCACTCTGAAGGATGCTGACAACACTGGAAACAAACATGGCAGGTTCATTCTGTTTGTCTCATCTGGTAACTTAGGCTTTATGGAGAATATGGAGGCTCTGAAGCTAGAGAAGGAGAGGGAAAGATCCTGAGCAGGTGAGTATTTACCTTCTGTGTGCTGCTCCAGGACAGGTTCTGTCCAAATTTGTGGTTTCAGAGCTTTTCCTCCCAGGTACTGCTATCTAGCATTTCATAAAAACTGACTAAATAAAGCTATGTAGTTGCCAAGAAGGGCTCTGTGCACTAGCACATGGACATATTTAACACACATGCTTTTAGCTTTGGCCTGTCCATAGTACTTCACACCAACAGTGTATCTGCAGAGTTTTTAAAAAAAATTTTTTTCCTCAGGAAAAAAAAATTTTTTTCCTCAGGAAAAAAAAATGGTAGCTTAAAAAGAGAACATCTCTTGTCCCTCATAGGTCTAAAACTTTTAGGGAGAACTAATAAACAGAATTAAGAATCTGATGTGCAAAGGCAAAAATGTCCCTGTATTTCATTCACCTTTATAGAAAATTGGTTTGCCAGTAAGTTCGTTTATTAGGTGGGTCTCTTTACTGTGATTTGAATTGACCTACTCTATGGAACACAGGCCAATCCCATAAGGCTTCTGCCTATGCATAACAATGGGAATACAAAAATACCCCCTAAGTCTATGAAAAAAAAATGTGAGGGAAAGATTTGCATCAAATATTTATGATGTTATATGCTGATTTATAGAAGTTTAGATATTTTAAATTATTTATTTCAAGTTTTTAAAAACACTTCATGAATTAAAAGTCAGTGAATTTAGCCAGGCATTGTGGAGCAGCTTGGGAAACTATGGCAGGAGGATCATGAGTTCAAAGTCAGCTTCAGCAAAAGTGAGGCACTAAGCAACTCAGTGAGACCCTGTCTATAAATAAAATACAAAATAGGGCTGTGGATGGGGCTGTGTGGTTGAGTGCAATTCTAGTGACAAAAAAAAAAAAAGACAGTAAATGTTATATAATATACTATTTGGGAAATTTCAGAGTTCAAAAAGCCAGAGTCCCATGTTGTAAGAAGCCATGTGATAATTTAAGGACAAATTTAAACATTTTTTCCCAATTTAATCACTTTTATTGATTTATCTTGATGATACCCATAATAAATTTTAAAGAATTGAGTTGTAGATGGACAGAATGCCTTTATTTATTTATTTATTTATTTTTATGTGGTGCTGAGGATCGAACCCAGTGCCTCATGCACACTAGGCAAGCGCTGTGCCACTGAGTTATACAGCCCCAACCCCCAAAATATAAATTTATACTACTAACTATGAAAGTGAGAAATAAGTATTTAAAAATATTTTTAGTTATAGATGGATACAATGTATTTTGTTTGTTTATTTTTATGTGGTGCTGAGGATTGAACCCAGTGCCTCACTTGTGCGAAGCAGGTGCTCTGCCACTGAGCCACAGCCCCAGCCCCGAGAAATAAGTATCTTTTTAAAAAAAAATATTTATTTTTTAGTTGTAGTTGGACACAATACCTTTATTTTATTCATATATTACTATGTGGTGCTGAGGACCGAACCCAGGGTCTCACAGGCTGGGAGGTGAGCACTCTACCTCTGAGCCACAACCCCAGCCTGAGAAATAAATATCTTAATGCTAAAAATAATTATGGTATTGGAAGTATTAGGCAAATTATTTCCTGGTTCCACCAACAGATGAGCACAGTCCATGATCTGAGGAAATGTACTCAATCAATATCTCAGTACTAGATAGGCTGAGAATTTTGAGGAAAGATAAAAAAAAAAAAAACAATCCAATCAATTCCATTCATCTCTGTCTATATTATGTAATAAATAATACTGTATTCTAAATGCTGCTATTGATACATTTGCAGTCAAAAGAGTTGACAGAACTGGGCGCAGTGGAACTTGCCTATAATCCCAGTGGCTCCGAAGGTTGAAGTAGGAGGATCCTGAGTTCAAAGCCAGCCCAGTGAGACCCTGTCTCTAAATAAAGTACAAAATAGGGTTGGGGATGTGGCCCAGTGGTCAAGTGCCCCTGAGTTCAATCACTGGTACCTACCCTCCACCCACCAAAAGTTAACAATTTCCACTGTCTCCAATGGTATTTCTCACACAGGTGAGCACTTTTGGCTTTAGAGCCCATGATTTTGGCATCTGAGTTATGAAGAAAGCAGTCCCTGTCTGGAAATGTGTATTTGTGCAATCATTTGGGGGGAGTCTGAAAGAAAAAAACCTCAGTATGATTCTTCTAGTAAATTTCATCACCTCTGCCAAGACCATGACTCTCTTCGCCAAGCCTGCACTCTTAGGCTCTGATGGGATGAGAAGGTGGCACTGAGGGCTGGAAGGCAGCAGCACCAGGAATGCTTGAGCCAGCTTGATCCAGGGTCCCTAGAGCAACAATAACTGCAGAACAAGGTACTCCCTGCACAAGCAAAATGTAGAATGAAAGGCTCACATGGCTACTTTTGAAGATAGTTTTCTGGGTATTGGCTTTTTTTTACTTTTGTCTGGGTAAATGTGGAGTACAAAGTTTCTTAAGGAGGGTTTTTTTTTTAATTTTTTTTTTTATCAGAGATTGAATGCAGAAGCACTTAACCGATCTGTCATATCCCCAGTCCATTACTGAATTTTTATTTTGAGACAGGGTCTTGCTAAATGGCTTAAGTCCCTACTAAGTTGCTGAGGCTGGCTTTGCACTCTTGATCCTTCTGCCTTAGCCTTCAGAGCCACAGGACCAGAGACAAGTGCCACCATGCCTAGCTTAAGGTGATTATCAAGAAGAAAATAATTGAAGACTAATATCATAGAATTTTCTTATTTAGAATGCACAGATTTCAGCAGTCTTCTTTTGTATGAGATTTATTTTTTAATTTTAGGAAATATCAATTTAATTTTGATGGAAGCAAAGTAAACAGTCAAATCCAATTTTTTAGAAAGTTATATTTATATATAATGACATCAATTTTCTTTTTTTTTCATAGAAGGAAATACTTTTATTCTTTAAAAACAACTGTTTTAAGAAAAAGGAATCAAAATTGTACTTGTTGGTAATCACACTGGCCATTATCAGAATAGCCCATGCTGTTAGGAAAAAAAATTTTTCTGTGATTCCTCATTGGATGATAACCATCTATACTATGACAATGTGAACAATACACAAGAGCATATTCTAGTAAGCAAGACTGATTCTCAAATGGATAAGAGCTGTGGCTTGCTCAGAACACTTTTATTTGCTGCAACAGATGATTAAATAATTTGATTCTAATTTTTCAGAGTTTATAAAGGTTAACCACCTAGTCCTGGCAGAGCTTTTCAGACCAGTATTTAATAATCACCAGAAAAAGGCACTTTTAAAAAACATTTGACAAGGAGCAACATCAACGCAATGAGAACTGGTCTAAGTCCTGCACAAAATTTTATCATATTTCAAATAAATAATATGTTCTCAGTCTTTGTGTGTATTAATATAGGTAGTACATTCTCTGTGTGTATATATGTGTTTACACCAACACCTATACACCCATATACGTGTGTGCATGTGTTTATATATGTATATACAATCATCTATACATACATATATATACGTGTGTGCACAAGTGTGCATATATACACGTATGCATGTTGTATATCATTAAGTCTCTGGGGAAAACAATTGTTTCTTTAATTAAATATCATACAAAAATTCTAGTCACTTTATTTCAAACAGGGAATAAAAGGATTGGCAAATTAACACCAAAAAAGTACCTACTAAACCTTTCTAATATTACCACCCCCCCACCCCCGCCAAAAAAAAAGACAGTAAAATGAATACTTCGAACTTTCTCAGGTTGACAACTATTAGAATAATAAAACCTAGCATTTAAAAAATGGGGACCAGAGTGGATATTTTTGGTACTATAAATCTCATATACTCACACATTCATATTGCTTATGTTAAAGAGAATGGAATAAGCAGAGGAAATTTCTTCCACAAATTCCTTCCCTTCAGTACCCATCAAGTTTTAGTTATATTGTGTTATTCCACTTAGCTTAAAATGCAAACAAGGTCTTGTATAAATACATTTTCAGTATTCTGAAATTCTCAAGATATTTGCCGAGTATTTAGAATTACTCAGAGGATTTTTGTTAAATAAACAAAATTGTCTCATTAATCCACTACTGCATACTTGAGTTGTAGTTTGGACAGAGTAAACACATCTGTGTCAGAAGTGGACAAAGGCTATTCCTTCTTCCCAGAAGGCGTATACAGCCATGTTCTTATTCTCAGAATATGAAAAAGAACAGTTAACTGCAGAATGCCTGAGAACAAAAATCAAAGCCACTTGAAGAATTAAGAGCCAGATTCTGGACATTTCTGCCTTTTAGCTGCTGGTTCTTCAGTCTTGTGTGATTCTAAAGTGCTCACGCTGGACTTGAGGCTGGTGTCTGCTCGAAGATTGTCCAAGACAACAGTGAAGCCTGACAGAAGGTACCCCCTGCCTCCACTCATCAGCAGCTTGGGATGACTTCGATCTGGCAAAACCTGATAATTTCTGAGCCAGGTTTCAGACAGCCTGAGGTTGATGACTCCTCCCCCCTCACAAAGTTTTATGTAGCATTCCAACAAAGGCTCTTTATACTGACAGTAGACCACAAATGGCCTTGAAGGGGCCACAAAGTCCAACAAAGACAGGAGCAATGGAGTGGGATGAAAACGACTGGCTACAATTAAACCATCTGCGTTCCTTTCACTCAGTAGAGCAGCAGCATCTAAGTGTCTCTTCCTCTGCTCTTCTTGTCTCCTTTGCTTTTCCTGAATATAATCTTTTTTGCTTCCTCTATCTTTAGGCTCCTTATATTCTGGATCTTGAGGAACAACTTCCATTGATTCTTGTTCTGGGTGATTGCTCTCTGGGGCCTCTGCCATGCTGTCTTCATTGTCTGGTTTAGAAGCCTGCTTTTCCTCAAGTGCACCATTACTTTCTTCAACTGATGCACTGTCTTTTGGCTCTGCGTATAATATCTCAGCAGAAAATGTTCCATTTAGGAGACTATCCACTTTGTTGAGGGGGAAATTCATAAAGACCACTGAGAAAAGATTTGGGAAATCCAAAACACGCTGTTGCTACCCGAACAGGTCCGTCTCCAGGGTAGAGCTGAATAATGGAGCCAAAACCTCCCATTCGTTCCATCATTGCACCCAGCACCAAGCCTGAACATGTTTCCATTACAATCATTTTATTGCCAGCATGGATATTTCCCAATGTCAGCATCTGGGCTAGTGTATCATATCTCATATGGTTAATTTTTCCAGGTTCTCTTGCATAATACATAATTGAAAGAATACTGGTTGATGGCTTCAAAATAGTTATGACAGCTTCATATTTCTTTTTCTTCTTTTTTATATATTTATCTTGAGCAAATTCTGTCTTGTCTCGGAATGTTGTACTATTTTCAATTAACTGCTAGGCGAGCACTCTATTGCTGAGCCACATCTCCATCCCCAAACATGCAATTTTTTATTGTGTTAGTTGGCTTTCCAACACTATAACAAATACCTGAGATAATCAACCTATGAAGAGAAAAAGTTTTATTTGGCTCACGATTTTGGAGTCCATGATCAGTGAGTCCCATTGCTTTGGGCCTATGGCAAGGAGCATGTGGTGGAGCAAAAGCAATTATAACAGAGAAAGAGGAATAGGTCAGGTTCCCACAATCCATTTTGGGGACCCAAACCTAGTGACCTAAGAACCTGCCACTAGACCCCACCCTTTGAAGGTGCCACCACCTCCCAGTAGTACCACCCTGGATTCTAAGTTTCACATTTAAACTATAGCATTGATCCATAGGGGATAGAGATTCTACATTAGTTTTTGTTTACTTGTTTGTTTCTATTTTGTGGTACTGGTCTTTGAACCTAGGGCCTGGCACATGCTAGTCAAGTAATCTATTACTAATCTACATTCCCAGTCTCTACTCGCTTTAAAAAAAAAATCAGACAGTGTCTCAACTAAGTTGCTGAGGCTGACCTCGAACTTGTGATCCTCCTGTCTCAGCCTTCTGGGATTACTTACTGACAACATACCAGGCAATATTGCTTTTAAGAATGTGAAATAAATTATCTTAAAAAGGATTTTGAAAAATAATATAGGCATAAAACATCATTGAGTAAAAAACTCAGTGACATTAGTATTTTAACACAACAATCATGAAGTAGTAACAAATGGTGATAAAAATACATCCTGGTTTTATTGATTTTTTCCCCAAAAAAGTGAATTAATATTTTTAATTGACCCATCAGGAAAACATTCTGACCATATGTGTGCTATAATAGGAAATACATATTTGGTCTTTGTCACCAGATTTTGGCACAGAGCTCCTAAAACTCTTAGAATTTCCTGTGATGCATGTCTGTTGTCATTTATACCAAATTGTTAGACTTTATCTGAAATTTTGCTCATGAGATAGCTGGTAGCTGTGGCCCCTAGATAGCTTCAGGTTAGGGGCTGGTCACCAGAAAGACCAAGCCTTGATTAGAGTTGGAGCTTTCAGCCCTATCCCTACTTCCTGGCATCATCAATGGGCAATGATGTAATCAATCAAGACTACATAATGAAAACTCCATGTGATCCTTAGATGACAGGGTTCAGAGAGCTTCCAACTGGTGAACATGTCCAGATTCTGGGGTGATGAATGTGCCTGGAGAGGACATGGAAGCTTCATTCCCCTCAACCCCATTCCTCGCTCTATATATCTCTCCCATTGGGTGATCCCTGAGTTGCACCCTTCATGATTAACCTGTAATAGTAAGTGAAAATATTCTCCAGAGTTCTGCAAGTTGTTTTAGAGGAGGGGTTTGTCAAAATCCTTGCATTTGTAGCAAGTCAGACAGAATCCCAGTTAAGCACCCAGGAATCCGTACATGAAGTTGGTGTCTAAAGTCAGGGCAGTCTTGGGGTTCTGATCCCTTAAACCTGTGAAGTTTGAGGCTAACTCTGGGTGATTAATGTCAGAATGGAATTAAATTGTGGGATACCTAGTTGATTTTCAGTCATACATTTGGTGTTGGCTAAGACAGCACAAATTTGATGTCAAGGGTGGAACATAAACCATGAGAGGTTTACTTTCCTCAGTGGCTAAGGAGATTAATACTAGAGCTTGAGCCTCCCCAAGATCATCGCCTGCCAGGTGGGAGTCATCTTCATACAAATGATGAACTGCAAAGAGAAAAACTATTTCCTGTCAGCTTCCTCCTGCAACCTGAACATTGTGACAACAAGATTAGAAGTTCAGATGGTTTCTTCATTATAATGATTATTACGCTCAAGCTTTGTGAACTTCTAACTTTTGTAGCTATTGGTGAAAACTGGAATCCTTGACTTATTGTTTCTGAATCTGGATTTTTTTTTTTTTTGGAGACAGGAAAGTTTAAATAGTTGTATGTAGAAATAAATGATTGAGATAAAATATACTTTACAAAAACACTGTGGTTTGGGATGAATATGTAATTTCAGGATGAGTTTATGAGTAGGTTCATGTAGTCCTATAAGCAGGAAATATGGAAAATGCCAGTGTTATTTTATAGACTTGTACATTAGAGAGAGAGAGGCAGCAGCCTTGCTTTCTCCCTCTTTTCATTGTATGCACAAACATGCTGCTGGCACATCTCAAATACTGTTGGGGTACACCAACAGTACTTGACATCATCAAACCTGAGGAGGGAGTAGTTCAGAATAGAGTGCTGCAGAAAGGCTAAAGGAGAGAACAAAAATAGTCCTTGGGTTTAGTAATCTTGGATCTCTATTGACTATGCCAAGCTGTTTGTGTAAGTTCAGGGGGTCAGACTTGCAAGAAGCATAGAGTGGTGAAATGGAGGCTTCTTATTCTGGTAAGTTTGACTGTTTATCTTCTTTGTAGAGTTTATCTCCAGGAGAGCAGAAGAGGATTTTCTTGACTGAAAACTAATGAATGAGTGAAAATCCCACTGCACTAGTTTGCATTCATTTCCCACAAAAGAACCACCCTAGGGCTGGGGCTGGGGCTCAGCAGTAGCGCGCTTGCAGGGCTCTGGGTTTGAGCCTCAGCACCACATTAAATAATAATAATAATAATAAATAAATGTATTGTGTTCAACTACAACTAAAAAACTAAAAACAAAACAAAACAAAACAAAAAAAAAACACACACTAAAGTCATTTACTTTCCACTGTACTTTGGTATGCCCAAATCCTCTGGAGTCTTACTGATTTTTTCCTTTTTGATCTTTTTAGCATGTATTAAGACTCTATAAAAACACTGCCCATGAAAGAAAAAAATGGACAAACTGGACTTCACCAGAATAAGAAACTGCTACTTTTGAAAATAATTTTATTTTATTTTTAAAATGAAAAGGCAAGTAAGAGATGGATCTGAAATGAGCTGGTATCCAGAACTTATAAAAGAACTCTTCTTGTTACTTTTTCTAGTACAAAGTATGCACCTTTTCTCTCCCTCTTGCTTGCTGCCTATCACAAGGATCCATCTCCTTCTCCAAGGTTCACAGTCCCACCTCCCAGAAAGGTGATGTGGGATTCCAATGATTTCTAACTCCTGGTGTACATATTCCTGTCTAGATCTCTTCTGTGTTGAAGAGGACCCAGTCATGTGACAATAGGGCATTGCAGAAATAATGCTGTTTCTAAGGCTAGGTTATAAAAGACACTGTACCTTCTGTGTGGCTCTCCTTTGAGGTAAGCAAGCTGCCATGAAGTGACCATGCTCAAGAGTCCAGATAGAGAGGTTCATGAGACTACATACCCAACACTCAGCACTCACCTGCCCAGCATGAAGCATCTGGATGACTTTGTGAGAACTGTCCAACCCATAAAGCCTCAGGTGACTGCAACTTTTGTTGACATCTGACTGCAACTTCCTGGGGGGGCTCCAAAACATAGCACCTAGCTAAGCCTCTCCTGATTTCTTGACCCACTGAAATTATGTGAAATGATGAATGTTTACAGATTGAAGCTGTTATATTTTGGGGCATTTTGTTAAGAAAAAAACCTGATAACTAATATAGGTGAAAAGGAATATGTAGCTTCAATTTAGCCTTGGATCTAAGCCATTTTTCTACTTGTGCTTTGATCTCTTCAATTTTATTTATTGTATTTATTTTTTAGTTCTGATCCAACAGGTAGAGGAAGAAGAAGAGAGTGAGAGATAGGGAAAGCAGGATGGAATTATTGATAGGAAAACCGTGGGAAATGGCTAAAGGTGCAAGCATCTCCTTCTCCAAGGTTCACAGTCCCACAGAAATGTCAGTCTTGCTGAGTGACTTTTGCTTTCTTTCTTTCTTTTTTTTTTTTTTTAAGAGCAGGGCTCAGAGGACCCTTCTTTGCAGCATCTATCTGGTTTTCACTCCATCCAATATGGGGGGGGGTCCTGTAACACAATGTTTCAAGACCAATTCTTAAAACTTTACTTACTTTAAAAGCATCTGTAAGAGCCCCCAAGAAAGATACAATGAGGAAAACCCCAAAGATAAATACCTGGCAGACTTCAAACAATACCCTGGAGAGCAGCTCCCAGTTCAGAGGCACCAGTGTGGGCAGAAGGAGGAGTTTGGGGTCCAGGAACTTTGATAATGATTTTAACCCAGCCAAGAGCCGGCATCTTCTCCCATTCTCCCTTTGGATTTCAAGCAGGGACCTGGCCAGCTGCAATCAGTCCTCCTAATTTGTATCAGTAATGAGAACTATGTGAGACTTTCCTCCAGATAAATTGGGCAGAGACAGCTTGAGGACTAATTTGAACAGGGTGAGGCCTGGGCTGGTCCAGCCATTTTGTCTGCAGGCCATAGTTAGAGGACTTTTATTTTCTGCGATGTCTGAATCTGTGGAGGGCAACTGCAGGTAGGCAAGCTCACCAGCCTCCTCTGGCTTGGCACTGGGGGTGGGGGTGGGGGGCTAGGTATTTCCCTAATTCACACTAATTAACAGGGAATAGTGACCCAGCAAAAACACTAAACAAACTGCTTGGTAATCTGTTAAAAGAAATGTCAGAAAACAAACAAGAGAGTGGCAGGATAATTTAAATCTTTTCTCCAAAAGAGAAAAACAAAAAATCAAACAACAACCCAAAACCTTGAGTTACAAACAAGAGGATCAAGCCTTCCAAAATCAAGAATAAACAAGAAAATATGCTATTTGAAGTGCGTTCAAAATGTCTTTTACAAGCGAAGCAAATTAATTCTGCATGTTCTGGGGTTCTGCAGAGGCCGCAACAGTGTTCTGCCTTTAGTGGGTAAAATGACACCTTTTGCTTTTAATTGTAACCCAAAAGCCTCAGATAGCATTGCGCTCCAGCGGGCTCTCTCCATGGAGCTCCATTCCCAGCCCTTTCTGAGCATTTCATCGCCTGCAGCGCCACCCTCTCAGGTCTTGAGTTTCTGGGACCGGTGGCTCCATGATATGCCCCAGTAGCGGGAGGCTGTCTGAAGTGTCGCTGAGTTTTCGACCTCTGAAGGTTGGGGGCAACTGCTCTGGGCATTTGTAAAGTGTAGGGAGCTACCGCGAGGTCCGACTGGATGCCCCCAAGGCGTCACCTTTGTGTCCACGCGTTCTGAGGCGCAAATCCGAGGGTGGGCGCAGAAACAGAGATACAGCGGCTGCCCGCCGCTTCCCGCGCGCCTCGCCAGCTGCCCTTGGCAGGCAGGGGGCGCCGCCGGCCTCGTTCTACCCTTGGGGCGGGCAAGCAAGAGACTGCCTCCTGCGCCCCGGCCCCCAGCGGTGGGCCGAATACCGA